TTCTAAGGAGGCCATCATAAAGTACTGAGGTCCTGGCAGCTTAAAATAACAGAAATGTCTTCTGTCACAGAAGTCCAAAATCAAGGTGCTGGTAAAGAAGGACCCTTCCTAGTCTCTTCCAGCTCCAGAAACTCCAGGTTTTCCTTGACTTGTGGCTGCATCTCTCCAGCCTCTGTCCCAGTCTCCATATGGGCTGTCTTTCATCTGTCAGTGTTTCCTCTCGTTTTAGAAGGACACCAGTCATATTGATTGAGTTGTTAGGTGCCATCGAGTTGGTACCGACCCATAGCGACCTTATACACAGCAAAACGAAACACTGCCCGATCCTGGGCCAACCTCACTACTGTTGCCATGCTTGAGTAGTTGGGCAAATATAGACAATGAATAAGGAAGGCCATAGAAGAATCAATGCATTTGATTTACACTGTTGGCAAGATTATTGAAAATACCAGGGACTACCAGAAGAACATACAAAATTTGTCCTTGAAGAAGAAGAGCTAGAATACCCCTTAGAAACGTGGTGACAACACTTTGTGTCTCTCATATTTTAGACATGTTGTCAGGAGGGACCAGTCCCTGGAGAAGGACATCATGCTTGATAAAATGAGGGTCAGCAAAGAAGAGGAAGGTCCCCTGTGAGATGGAGTGACACAGTGACAGTAACAATGGTCTAAAATGAAACAAGAATTGTGAGGATGGTGTAGGACAGGGCAGTGTTTCATTCTGCTGTGCATAGGATTGCTGTGAGTCAGAACTGACTCGCTGACACCTAACAGAAGTCATATTGGAGTAGGGCCCAGCTTATTCCAATATGACCTTATGTTAATTAGCCAACTACATTGGCAAAAACCCTGTTTCTTAATAAGGTCACATTACGTTGTTATTGCTATTAAAGTGCCATGGAGTCAGTTCCAACTCAGTGACCCTGTATAGGGATTCCAAGGACTGGTAGGTGGGTTTGAACTGCCGATCTTATGGTTAGCAGCCCAGTGCTTAGCCTACAGTGCCACACCAGGACTCCACTTTAGTCATTAAGGGGATGTGCATCAAACCACAATGAGATAAAATCCTATAAGATCCATAAAAGGCCATGCCTTTGGGAGAGTGGGGGGAAGACATATCCAATTGTCTTTATTACCTGGTGCTGCTGGGAGAAAAATACCCAATGTGTGTCTGTTTAGAGTAAAAACACTAATTTTCTTACCATTCTGGCGGTCTTACAGAGTTCAGCCACTGGAGAAAGTAGCTTTTTAGAGATGTCTGTCTAGAATGCTCTGGCTTCAGAAATGCTTCCTACCCACATGGCCCCTGCAGGCCTTGTGGACTTGGGGAGATACATGCAGTCATGACCTTGGCATGGACTTCTTCCCTTACACATCGTGTTTGTATGTTCTTGGAAGCCTGCCCACTGAGCCAAGCTGGGCCAAGTGTGCCTTCCTCCTTGGAACTGAGGTCTGAAATCCTGAATTCTGTTCCTTTTCTATGTCAGTATCCCATCGATTTCAGAGGTGGTTATTGGCATAATGGTGCAGAATGCAAAAGAGAAGGGCCTCTGACTCTTGCTTTTGAGTTAGTTAGTGGAGACTACAAACTCTGGTGTGTAGGGAAAGTAAGGCCGGCTGTTCAAACCCACCAGTCACTCTCGGAAACCCTATACAGGTTGGAATGAGTTGGAACCAACTTGATAGCACACAATCAAAGCAATAGCAGAAGTTTCTTCCCATCGCTGTCCCTGTTAGGGATGGCTTATCCACTGAGTCTGTAGATTCCCTGACATCTGTCCCCTGTCAATAACTGCCCCTTCTATTTGAGCCTGATTTGGTAGGCTTCTGTCCCTTTGAAACAAAGGATATCTGACCGGAATCCTGAACATAAAACCAAACCCAATTCATTGCCATTGAGTTGGTTCTGACTCACGGCAGACTCATATTGCAAAGTAGAACTTTGTCCCATAGGTTTTCACAGCTGTAAACTTTCAGAAGCTGATCACCAGGACTTTCTTTCAGGGTACATCTGGGTGGGTTTGAGCTGACGGCCTTTGTGCCATCCAGAGACACCTATGGGGAAAGGGGAGCAGTACTTCCTTCGTGAAGTATCCAGCCCCCTAAATTGGACCAATCGTTTGAGACACCCAGTGGCTCTGAGGACTTCATGTGAACGGTGCTCACTGTCAGCGAAGCCAGTGTTCGACCCAGCAATTACACAGCCGTCAGATTGTAGATACACATTCACAAATGTCTGTATAATTGTTCACAAACAGTTCAGGCCTGCTCATGCAAGGCTACTTACAGAATGTTAATGGGGATGCTTACCCAACATCTGTCTTCGTAGTTGGAACCAGATTTATGCCATTTAACCGTTGATGGGCATAAAGCGGGAGATGGGGTATCTGCTGCCGTCAGCTCTCAGACAATCAAAACTCTGCAGCGCTGGGCAGCCACGTGGCTGATTGATGGCTGTGGTGTGGACAATGCATCTCCAGCTCTCACCAAGTCTTGTTGAAAACAATCTGGCTTTCTAAAATTCTAATAGCTACACGATGTAATAGGAGAAATGGCACACAGAAAGAGTTCATGGAGGAACTCTCTTTAGATAGAGTGAGGTTTTTTTGTAAACCTACAACGGCTATTGTGTATAAAGTGCACTAATTAAAACAAAGGAGCTCTGGTAGCGTAGTGGTTATGAATCGGGCTGCTAACCTCAAGGTCGGCACTTCGATACTACCAGATGTTCTGCAGCAGAAAGATGAGGCTTTCTGCTCTTGTAAAGATTTTGTTGTTGTTGTTGTTAAGTACCGTGGAGTCAGATCTGGCTCACAGTGACCTGCACAGGGTTTCCCTGTACAGGGTCGCTATGAGTCAGAACCAACTCCACAGCACACCACCACCACCACCAATTTAAAAAAAAATCAAATAGCAAGACTCAGGAAGATATAAAACTGCTACGACGAGCCAAGGATGGTCGATACTCAAATCGAAGACATCCCTGCTCATTCTAAAACATGAATATTGTGGAGATGCCCATGCAAGAAGTGCCAAGACTCAATCCAAGGTGGGCCTCGTGTATTTCTTAAATTCAGCTGTTCTGAAGGATGGCTAGAAGCACTGTTGGCACAATGGTGAAAGCACTCAATTGGTAACTACAAAGTCAGCAGTTTGAACCCACCTGCTAACCCGGGGGAGAAGGATGTGGCAGTGAACTTATGTGAAGATGTACAACTTTGGAAACCCTGTGGGGCAGCTCTGCTCTGTTCTGTAGGGTCAGTGTAAGTAAGAACCAACTCAATGGCAAGGGGTTGGGATTCGGGTGATGGATGATCGACAAACTCCTCCACCAGCGAGCACACCCGGTGTGTGTGTCACAAAACCAATATGTTACATCAGATTGTCTTAAATTCCATCTGCTGGCAACGGCTAGACACTGAAGTTATCGTCTGTCAACTTTGTCACACTGTGGTGGGCTGCATGTTGCTGTGAAGCTGGAAGCTATACTAGTGGTATTTTAAATACCATCACGGTCACCCATGATGGACACCTTTCAGTGGACAGACCAGGAGGAAGGAAGAGGTGGACCCCTGCTGAAGGATTAGGCACCAAAAACATTATGAATAGGAGTGAAACACTGTCATATAAAATGGTGGCAAACGATGTGGCCTTCAGCTAAGATGGACTCCGAATCTGACCCAGTGGCAGTAACAATGGGCTCAAACAGGACAATTGTGAGGCTGGCACAGGACCTGGCAGGGTTTCATTCTGTAGTCCATAGGGTCACTCTCTGTTGAAACCAACTTGACGACATATTTAGGGTTACAGTGACGATAGAACGAGTGATCACACAGGGCAGAGGGTAACAGACTTTCATTCATTTCTCTTGTGTGCAGTCTGGGTTGGTGGGTTGCTTTGCTCCATAAAGTCCCTCAGGGATCTAAACACTTACCATATTTGGGTTCTGTTGTTTCCTGGGGAACTGTTCTCATCTGTATGATCTGTTGGGTTGTAGACAAGCCCAAGCTGCTGTTCATGGACTGGGAAAACGAGAGACGCCAGGAAATTGGTTGTGAGGGCAGTTCTGACGTGCTCAATGAGATCTACTGTGAACAGCCAACCACCTGAAAGGTTGTTTCCCTGAGGAGGTGGCTTGTTTCTCTGACCAGGGGACTTTAAAAGGTTTGTGGATAAATGGATAAAAGGTTGTTTTCCTGAGGAGGTGGTTGTTTCCCTGACCAGGGGACTTCAAAGGGTTCGTGGATAAATGAAAAATTGAATGAAAAGATCATGGAATTTTTCCACCAACCTTTTGAAGCCCCACTTGGGTGAACTTTCTGGCAAAGCTACCCTGCCTTTTCCTAAATTTGTGTCCTGCATGTGGCTGGTCATCACCTGACTGCCAGGTCTTCAGACTTGAGCCAGCAGTCTGCTGTGTTGCCTACCACCTTACCTGCAGTGCACCTGTGCAGCCTGGGAGTCAGCCCTCTGCCATCTTCCCTGCCCACCTTGCAGTCACTCACTTTCACAAGCAGCAGCAGCTTGCTGTCGGATCTTCTGGTTTAGTATTCATCAGCCCCTGCAGCTACCGGAGTCAGAAGCCTCCAGTCGGACATCTGACTTGGAACTTGACAAACTCTACAACCACATGAACAATTTCCTCAAGCTAGATCTCCTAATGTTGACAGAAAAGAGATTGTTTCCTACAAATCTGAGAAGTGTCACATATTCAACAAATATTTATTAAGTGCCGTCAATGTGCCCTATATTCTTACATGTATAAGAAAGAAATATGAATAACACCTTGTGGGTAAAATTATAAACACTGCAATACGCTTTTCCATTTCCCAAAGACTTTTTGCTCTTTCAGATAACAGAAGGCAACATTTTTTGCCTTCATATTTCAGGAAAACTATTCACATCTGTTAAATTCTAAGAACTGGCATTATTGCTGTCCTGTGGATAGGAACACACAAAAAACCTCTTGGATAGTTATTTGGACATAGGTTCCATAAATCATAACTTGTTCATGACGTGCTTATGTACTTTCAATAAAGATTCTTCAGAAGATGATAATAGATCGTGGAGATCAAATTCAACCTCAAAGGTGGGTCTTTTTTCTAAAATAATTAAAGCAAGGAGCACTGCCAATTTTGCTGTTAGTCCCCTGATGTGGTAAGTCACGCCATTCTCGGGGTTTGTGTACTCGAAGCAATGGATAAGAACGCGATAACCAGAAGACGTCACGTACTTCTGGTGGTAGACAAGTGGGTGCAGGAAATAGGCCAGAGGGACCAGGAACACGTCCTTCACTTCGTCGGGATTTGGCTGGGCCTGGAAGTCTTCGTCTATAATTCCCACAACTGGGGTGATCAACATCTTTGCCTGGAAGCAGAAGGAAAAACAGACACAAATCAGAAAACAAAGTGATATGATTTCATGTTGGAGTCTAATGTAAAGATCATGCCACTTCTGTTTAAGCTAAGACAGTCTGCCCACGGTAGGTAGGGAAGGGGCAAAAACTTGCTCCAGACATAAACCATGAAGCACCTGTTGTTGTTGTTGTTGTTGTTAAGTGCCATCGAGTCGGGTCCGACCCATAACGACCCTGTACAGGGTTTCCGAGGGTATAAATCTTTACGGGAGTAGAAAGCTTCATCTTTCTCCCGCGGAGCGGCTGATAGTTTCGAACCGCTGACCTTAAGGTTCGCAGCCCGATTCGTAACCACTACGCTACCAGAGCTCCTCGTGGAGTCCAATTGCTGACCTTGCTGTCAGAAGCCCAACATATAACCCACGATACTGCCAGGGCTCCTTCAGCTGGAGCACTCAAGAAGGTTAAACAGGTTTTAGAGGGTTTTCCTCAGAGGAGGAAAAGCTGGAACATATATATTTAAGAATAGAGACAGCTAAGACCATTTGCTGAATTAGTGAGAAAAATAAACATTTGAACTCAAGGGGACAGTGGTCACATGTTCGTAGGGCAGGAAAGTGAAGATGTGATTTTGAGCACTAAGGTGTGTGTACCTGACCCAAGCCATGGCATTGCCAACTGCCTCACATGCATGTGAAATGAACAAGGAAGACAGAAGAAGAGTTGAAGTGCTTGAATTATGGTGTTGGCCAAGAAGAACGTAAGTATCACGGACTTCCAGAAGAACAAACAAATCTGCCTTGAGGAAGTAAGGCCAGTTGGTGCCTTCAAGTGAGGATGGGAGACTGACTTCCTGTCATGTACTTTGGACATGAAAGGACATCATGTTTGGCAAAATAGAGGGTCAGTGAAAAAGAGGAAGACCCTCACCAAGGCAGACTGACACCACGGCTAAAACAAGGGAGTCAGACATGGCAATGGCCATGAGGATGGTGCTGGATCGTGTCACGTTTTGTTCTGTTGGTCACAAGGTTGTCGTGAATCGGAGCTGACTCAGTTGCATGTAACAGCCACAACAAGGGCATGAAGTCTGGGGTCATATGTTCTTTACCTGAAAGTGCACAGGCAGCAATCTGGGTAAGCGCTTAGTGCTAACTGAAAGGTTTGATCATCTGAACCCACTAGGAGTTCCATGGGAGACAAGACCTAGCTGTCTGCTTCAATACAGTCTTTGTTGTTAGGCCTGATCCGTTGGTTCCGACCCAAAGTGACCATGTATAGAATTTCCAAGGAGCAGCTGGTGAGCTTGAACCACCAACCTTGTGGTTCAAACCCACCTTGCAGTCCAGTGCATTAACCCACAGTGCCACACCGGACTACATACTCTTGGGTGGGTGCCGCAGAGTTGATTCTGACTCATATTGACTCTGTATAGGGTTTCCAAGGCTGTAAATCCTTATGGGAGCAGAACATCTCGTCTTTTTTCCACAGAATGGCTGGTAGTTTTGAACTGTTGACCTTAAGCTTAGCAGCCTGACTCCTAACCACTATGCTACCAGAGCCCCTTACATACTATTGTGTAGTTAATTAAGAGTGCAGCCTGGGAAACTCTGTGGGCAGTTCTCCTCTGTCCTACAGGAACACTGTGCGTCAGCATCAAATGAGCAGCAGTGGGTTTGGTTTAGATTTGGGTGAGTGTGTGTCTGTGGACAGGGGGCAAGGGTTTACATCTAAGACTGTAAGGGAGAGCACAGTTTAAGGCTGGATGCATTTCAGAGGGTATACTGGGGACATTCAGTGGGGCTGAAGCTTTGAAAAGTGAGGGAAGTCTTTGGAAACGTATGGAGGATGCAGCATCAGTGATCTTGGGAACCAGTGGGTAGCAGGTGGGGAGGTTCAGAGCAAGGTCCAGATGGGCAGGAGGCAATGCAGACCCCTCATTGCTCCTGACGAACTGTAAGTATTTGAGGGTACACTTAATTTCTTTTCCTCAGTTGTCCTCATCTCTACAATGGGGTCATAAAAGTATTTGCCTGCCCAGAGATGTTGTAGGGATTAAATGAGGTCAGGTGTTTGCAACCTTGGCCCTGCTGACGTTTTGGACTGGATCGTTCTGTGTGGTGGGGGCTGTCCTGAGTGTTGTCGGGTACATAGCAGCATCTCTGGCCCCTTCCCACCAGATGCCAGTAGTACCTGACCTCTCGCCCCAGGTGAAACAACGAAAACCTTCTCCAGACACTGACATGTCAGGGTCCCTACTCACCGACTGCCACAGAGGTCCCCCCCCGACTTACAGTGACCCCATGTAGGGTTTCCGAGACTGTGAACTCTATGGGAGCTGACACACTCAGCTTTCTCCTGCAGGGTGGCTGCTGGGTTTGAACCACTGACCTTGCAGACAGCAGCCCGACACCCAACCTGCACTCCACCAGCACTCCTCTACATTACAATGCTTGTTGTTGTGAAGTGCTGTCGAGTCAGTTCCAACTCATATCGACCCTGTATAGGGTTCCTGAGGAGCAGCTGGTGGGTTTGAACCGCTGACCTTTCGGTGTTTTCGATAAGTACCTAGTGCTCATCCTCCAGTGCCACCAAGGACCGGGGTGGGGGAGGGGGTGTTTCCCTGACTGAGAATTGACTTAGATTATGCTCCTAAATCTTCAATAAACAGTATTTTTTTTGTACTGTATTTTAAACACTTGTTGTTGTTGTTGTTAAGTGCCATCGAGTCGGTTCCGACCCATAGCGACCCTGTACAGGGTTTCCGAGGGTGTAAATCCTTACAGGAGTAGAAAGCCTCATCTTTCTCCCGCGGAGCGGCTGGTAGTTTCGAACCGCTGACCTTAAGGTTCACAGCCCGATTCGTAACCACTACGCTACCAGAGCTCCAAGAGCCAAAAACCGAAACAACTCTCCTTAGGACCTCCACACACATTAAAGCTTTCTTTAAGGCCTTCTTTCTTTCTCATTTCTCCCTGATGTGACCAGCATTCTGCTAACAGCAGGAGGGTTTAGAAGTGGCCACAGGCAGTGTCTGGCCTACAGAAATCTCCCGAAGTTCCATGAAATCTGATGGTCCGCAACCCACAGGATGGTCCCTGTAATACAGATCCCTTCCATCCACTCGCATGCAGACCAGGACAGCTCCCAGGGACCCTAGGAATGGGATTATGATCACTTGGGGTCGTTTAAACGTAACGGTTCAATTTGTCAACAGAACTCAAAACTCCCCCAAATGTATCAACGGAAGAGCCTCAGTTAGAAACACAACCGAGGAGAACACGGTTGATGTATTTCTTGTTCGAATTCCATGTTCCTTTTTTTCTTCCCTCTCTCACTTAGCAAGTGCTTATCTGAATGGCCACTAGCTGCTTCCACACTAAACCCTCCTTTGCATGGTAACCCTTGTGTTTGTAAAATGAACCCAATTAGGACATATGTGGCCCAGCCTCACTGGTCTTCATGACACTGTGTTGCTGCTCGTTTTTTTACCGCTAGGATTTTACAACAGAACAGAAAAGGACGACTAAATCCAGTTCTTCTAATCCCTAGGCGTCAGTGAAACTCTTCTTTAGAAACTAAATTCTATGTTAAATCCCAACATGTAGAACAAAAAAAATAGTTTCTAGCTACCCCTTGATTTTATGGAATGAGTAGGATGCTTCGCTTTTGTCGTAACACAGAACAAAACAGAACCTTAACAAGAACAAAATCCAGGTGCCTTCAAGTCGATTCTGACATGTGTGTCAGAGTCGAACTGTGCTCCAAAGGGTTTTCAATGGCTGATTTTTCAGAAGGAGATCGCCAGGCCTTTCTTCCAAGGTACCTCTTAGGAAACTCAAGCTGTCAGTCCATCAGGTTGCAGCTGAGAATGTTAACAGATAGCACCACCCAGGGATCTTTGAGTCTGTAACTCTAGTTTAACTGCGAGAAAAACATCCAAAAAAAAAAAAAAAAACAACTCTGTGGATAGGGACAGTCTTAAAGATCTGACTTCAAAATTGTCAAGGTCATCTAAAACAAGGAAAGTCTATGGTTCAGGGGAATCTAAGGAGACAAGATGATGGAATGTGTTGTGGGATCCTAGGGCAGCAAGAGGGCATCGGTGGAAAAGCCAAAGAAAGGGTTGTTGTTGTGAAGCGCCATTGAGTCGATTCCGACCCATAGCGACCCTGTATAGGGTTTCCGAGGAGCAGCTGGTGAGCTTGAACCACTGACCTTGCAGTTCAAATGACTTTGTAGGCTGATGCATTAGCCCATAGCGCCACACCAGGATTCCATAAAGAAAGGGTAGAGTTTCGTTAATAGCGATACACTAATGCTGGCTTCTGGAGTCCTGGTGTGGTGCTGTAGGATATGCACAGGACCATATGTCAGCAGTTCAAACTCACTAGCTCTCCTTGGAAACACTATGCAGGATCGCTATGAGTCAGAACTGACTCTACATTTAACAACAACATCGGCTTCACAATCATGACAAATGCTAAGATAACAGCAACTAAGTGTGTGGTTTTGAGTTTACATGAACTCTCTGTACTATTTTTGCAACTTCTCTATAAAACTAAAAGTACCCTAAGATTAAAAACTTATACCAATAAAATGATGTTATTATGGAGTGGAAGGAGCTCTGGGTTATGAGCTGCGTGGCTAACAGCAGTTTGAATCCACCAGCTGTTCTGTGGGAGAAAGAAGAGGCTTTCTGCTTCCGTAAAGGTTTACAGTCTCAGAAACCCTGTACAAGGTCGCTATGAGTCAGAAGCTACTCTATGGCACACAACCATCATGACTGTTACCAAGATGGAGAAAATGTGCAACGAAATTCAAAAGCATCAAAAAGACCAGGAAGACTGCTTAGACAGGGACTGGGGGGAGCTGGACAGTGGCCCTTCATTGTCCTTCAGTTCTGGAGTTCAACTCTCCCCAGTGCCTTGACATTGAGTCAAGTAGCAGATAGCTATATGGTGGTTGTGTACCATGGAGTCGGTTCCGACTCATAGCGACCCTATACAGGGTTCCCGAGGCTGTAAATCTTACGGGAGCAACACACCTCATCTTTCTCCCTCAGAACAGCTGGTAGCTTCGAACTGCTGAGCCTGCGGTTAGCAACCTAATTCGTAACCATTACGCTACCACAGCTCCTTTATAGGGGACCCATAATGCAAGGGAGCTGACGCTCACCATAGATGGTCAACCATTCAAGATCAAAAGGACAGCAGCTGACCTGAGAATAGAATGCAGCCGAGTGGGGAAAGGGGGAGAAAAGGAAACAAGAACCACTGAGAGGAAGTGGGATACATCATGGTACCCCGAGAGGGGCGGGGGACCACAATCACGGAGATGAAACAAAGTGTGTGATTTGGGATATAAAACTGATGACCCGCTTTGTAAACCTTCGCTCAATTCATAACAAAAAGTCTGCTTTTATAAAAAAATGATGGCAGTAACTGTGTTCAAATCTACAATACTTAACTTCTAAAGCCAGCTGAGTTCTGGTGTGGCACTCGAGGGTCAGCACTGGACTGCAAGGTTGGTTTGAACTACAAGGCCAGTGGTTCAAACCCACCAGCCTCTCCTTGGAAACCCTATACAGTGTCGGAACCAACTATACAGTATGTGTAGGAAGCGACTCAACGGCACTTAACAACAACAACAGCAAAGCCAACTGAAGGAGCCCTTAGTGGGCTAGTGGTTTAAGCACAGGGCTGCTAACCACAAGGTCACTGGTTCGAATCTACTAGCAGCTCCAAGTGAGAATGATGAGGTTGTCTGTTCCCGTAAAGCTAGACAGTCTAAGAAATCCTTCAGAGCAGGTCCCTGTGTCCTCCAGGGTCATTATGAGTTGGCATCCACTCGATGGCAGTACGTTAAGCCAATTAATACAACAGTAAGATTGTTGGGGTGAAATCATACAAAACAAGATCTGATTATATCAGTCTCAAAACTGCTTTTGAGTTTTGTGTGTTGTTTTAGTTAAGTACAGTTGAGTCAGTCCCGACTCATAGTCACCCTGTATAGGGTTTCCAAGGAGTGGCTGGTAGGTTTAGACTACTAACTGTAAGGCTGTAGTTAGCAGTCTCGTGCTTACCCTACAATGCAACAGCAGGACTCTTAAGTTTAAGGAAATTCTGGTTCACACAGGAATCAGAAACGGTTTTTCAACTGCTTGCTTGAAAAGGTGATTTCAGGTTCACGTTCAATTCACGTGACCTAGAGAATCTTTATTCCATGGAATATTTGGGGATAGTGCTGTGGGCTAATGCACTGGACTGCAAAGTCGGTTTGAGCTGCAAGGTCCGTGGTTCAAGCTCACCAGCTGTTCCTCAGAAACCCTATACAGGGTCACTGAGTTGGAACCGACTCGATGGCATTTCACAACAACAAGAAATCCTGGAATGAATGAGCCATCTTTAATGGCCTCCAAGTGGCTAGTTTGGTTTAAAGGTAATATACTGCACATATGTTGGAGAAAAGAACATGTCAACTGAAGGTAATGAAATAATTCTGGAATGTCTTTAGGGTGCCAACACCCAGTGTGACAAGCACTGTTCAAGTCTGACCCCTTCATTACTGGATGGGTAAAGAGGGGCCAGGAGAGGAAAGGTGTCTACCCAAGGGCACTTACATTATGAAGGACAAAGTCCATACAAGACCTCATCTCTGGATGGAGACTAAGGGCCATGTTTGGCCAAATGTGTAATCTAGAGGGAGGATTTACTGATAGGTCCAGAAGAAATCGTAAAACCCAGTTCCATTCCAACCTTCACCTCAAAAATCTGTGGCACCAGACAGCAGACGACCTCCACTTGATGAGGACGCAGGCCCACTTCCTCCTGGGCTTCCCGGAGAGCTGTGGCTACCTCGTCCACATCTGCAGGTTCAAACTTGCCTCCTGGGAAGCAAACTTCTCCTGGCGACCTTCGTAGCTAGATATTGAAAGAAGAAAACTGTAGTGTGTGATTTCAACCATGGGGCCATGCAGCCATTCATTCGACAAACGTTGTCTACTCGACTTGTATTTTGTGTCAGGGACTGTTCACACACTGATGACAAGAAATGGTGAAAGAGAACCCCTGCCCACCCACCTCGACCAAAAATATAAGTTCTTCAGAAAAAGGAACTTTTAGAATTTCCCTCGCCCTCACATTTCCTCTCTGTGCCTTCAAAAGACATCCTATCCATATGTAAGCAGATTTATATTGGGGGGAGGGGGAAGCTGATGGAAAAGACTATGAAATGGGCAACCGTAGCAATGCCTACCCTCTGCCTCTGAGTTGGCTCTGATCCACATATTAAACTCTCCCGAATCCCAGGACTTTACATTTGCTAACCTGCGTGACCCTCAAACAGCCCTATGAAGTTGTCCCTCTTTTATCAGTGAAGAGACTGCAGCACAGAGAGGGTAGGTAACTAAGAAAATGTAGCACAGCAGGAAGAGGGAGAGCCTTCATTCAATCATGAGCAGGGAGGCCTGAGGGCCTAGGCTTTTAACTTCCATGCTCCAATATTTTCAAATTATACCGGGGTGGGATTAATTTAAAAGTAGGGGCAATTCGTCTCTCATACTTCGGACATATAGTCAGGAGGGACCAGTCGCTGGAGAAGGATATCATGTATGGTAAGGTGGAGGGTCAGAGAAGAAGAGAAAGACCCCCAATGAGATGGATTGGCCAAGTGGCAGCATTGATGGACTCAAGCGTGGCAACAGTAGTGAGGTTGGCTCAGGATCGGGCGGCGTTTCGTTCTGCTGTGCATAACGTCGCTATGGGTCGGTACTGACTCAAGGGCACCTAACAACAACAAGGGGCAATTTAACATCCACCTCCCTGAAACAGTTGGTAGTGTTTGAAGATATTTGTGATTGTCACAGTGGGGGGGACAACGTGTTCCTGGTATCCAGTGGGTGAAGGCCAGACATGCTATTAAACATCTCACCACGAACAAAGGACGCCTTGAGCCACAGATGCCAAAAGTGCTGAGGTTAATACTGGTACAAGGGCAAGTTAAAAAACACTGCTACAAAATCATGAAAAACTTTATTAAATAAAAATATCAAAATGTGTAACTACTGTTTCTTGACATACCCTTTATCTAGGTCTATACACTTCTGAAGAGGATGTTTCCATTTCTCTAGCCCTTCCCTGATGAAGATCAAAGACCACAGCCTTCAGTATGGATTGCACCTCAATGTAAAGAAAACAAAAATCCTCACAACTGGGCCAGTAAATACCATCGTGAAAGTGTGAGAAAAGACTGAAGTTCTCAAAGACTCCACTGTGCTTGAATCCACCATCAACACTCATGGAAACAGCAAAGGACATGTTGTTGTGTGCCTCCAGTTCTGACTGACAGTCACTCTGTATAGGGTTTCCAAGGGAAGCAGAAGGCCTCATCTTTTCCCGTGGAGCAACTGGTAGATTCAAACTGCTGACCTTATGACTAGCAGCCCAGCTTGTAAACAGATCTATTGGTTCTATGGGCAGCCCATGGCACTTTCAATATTCTCCTCCAACACCATAACTCAAAGGCATCAATTCTTCTACGGCCATCCTTATTCACTGTCCAGCTTTCACATGCATGTGAGGTTATTGACAATACCATGGCTTGGGTCAGGCGCACCTTAGTCACCAAGCTGACATCTTTGCTCTTCAACACTTTAAAAAGGTCTTGTGCAGCAGATTTCTTGACTGCTGTTTCCGCGAGTGTTGATAGTTGATCCAAGAAGAATGAAGTCCTTGACAACTTCAATCTTTTCTCCATTGATAAGAAAGTGGTTTTTGGTCCAGTGGTGAGGATTTTTGTTTTCTTAACATTGAGAGATGTAATCAATACTAATTATGTATTACATTGCTGCAATTGTTAAGAGTTGTTGGGCTAGTTCTGACTCACAGCAATCCTGTACAGGGCTTCTGAGGAGCAGCTGGTGGGTTTAAACGTAGTGTTCTTTACATTGTTCAAGAAAAAGATATTCATTTGAGGACTAAAATGTGCCTGATGCTAGCCATGGTGTTTTCAACAGCCTCATGTGCACATATACGTGTGAAAGTTGGACAATGATGAATAGAGCAGACTATAGATGATGTGTTTGATATGGTGCTGGAGGAAAATATTAAAAGTACCATAGACTTCCAGAAGAATTTCAAAATCTATGCTGGAAGAAATATAGCCAAAATGCTTCTTAGAAGCAAGGATGGTGAGACTTCAGCTCTCACACTTTGGACATGTTCTCTGGTGGAACCAATCCCTGGAGAAGGACAGCATGCTTGGAAAAGTGGGGGGTCAGTGACGGAGAAAACAACCCCAACCAGAAGGACTAACGCAGTGGGAGCAACAATGGGCTCAAACATAACAACAATTGTGAGGAGTGTGCAGGTTCGGGCAGTGTTTCTGTCTGTTGTGCACAGGGTCAGTATGTGTTGGAACCGACTCAACGGCACCTAACCAATTTTTTGGAGACACACTGTTGTTGTTGTTGTTATGTGCCGTGGGGTCGGTTCCGATTCATAGCGACCCTGTACAGGGTTTCCAAGGCTGTAAATCTTTACAGGAGCAGATAGCCTCATCTTTCTCCCGCGGACCAGCTGGTAGTTTCAAACTGCTGACCTTGCGGTTCGCAGCCCGATTTGTAACCACTACGCTACTAGAGCTCCTTACCGAGCCTAAAACAGTGCTGGCCTAAGACTTCCTCTGCATCCCTCACTGATTACAGAAAGCTGTTTAAACACATTTTGTTTGGAATAAACCTGTGCTTGTATGTGTGGAACCTTGTACTGCTATAATAGAAGCAGCCCAGTTAGCGCAGTGGGTTATGTGTTGGGTTGCTAACCACAAAGTCAGCAGTTTGAATCCACCCGCTGCTCCATGGGAGAACAATGAGGCTTTCTGCTCCAGTAAAGATTAAGGCCTCGGAAACCTTCTACAGGGCCGCGATGAGTCAGAACCGACTCAGCATACAGGCGCAGCAGCTATTGCACAGTAGTACCACAGGCTGATGGTTTTAAGACTAGAAATGGATTAGGACGCTGGAAGTCTGATTCGGAGCACTGGGTTCTGGGCAGAAGTCCCTTGTTTCCTTTCAGTGTCGGTAGGGCGAGCATTCCTTGGCATTTTCCATGTATCTTGGCATCGATCTTCCCCTGGATCAGGGAGCTTCACGGCGCTAGGACCCAGGTCCAAAGGAAACACTTCGCTCCTTCACTTCCGACTCTCCTTTCTTGGTGGTAGTAGATCCCTCTCTGGCTGCTTACATCGCTCTCCTTTTATCTCTTGTAATATCAAAGGCTTGCATGCCACACCCTTGGGAATCACCCATAAATTGGATCAGAATAGTGATGGCATTAGGGTGGTGTGGCACTGTAGGGTCAGCAGTGGACTTCAGACCACAAGGTCTCCATTCAAACCCATCAGCTACTCCTGGGAAACCAGGGTCACTATGAATCAGAACTGACTCGGTCAACGTCACTTCACAACATCATCTTACCCTTGGAACCCTGGTGTTGCACTATAGGATAAGGACTGCATAGCAAGGTCAGTTTGAACTGCAAGGTTGGCAGTTCAAACTTAGCATCATCCTGTTGGAAACCCTATATGGTGTTGCTATGAGTTGGAACCGACTGGATGCCAGTTAACCATCCTACCCTTAATCCTCTTATTGGCTTCTCACATCACATCACATCGTGGAGGTTAGCTACATCTCAACTGCGAAACCGAGGATACCCGGTCCAAAGTTGACCCAAAACCTTAACTATTACACTCTGGTAGCTATACTTTTGGACTTACCTTCATATTTAAATGATATGTTAGGGGGAAAAAAATCTCAAAAAACTTATTTTTCTCTCCCCCAGGTGCCTTGTTATCCTGAGGTTTCTTGCACCCCTCAAACGCCATAATTTTGAAAGTCTACTTGAGAATCATAGCCCTAAAATGTGTGCGCGTTACACACTTCAGTGGGGTTTTCAATGTCCTGAGATGTTGACGAACGGAACCTTCTTGTCTACCTACCTTCTCTGACCGTTGGGTGAATAACAGATGGAATTTTCCTTCTTTTGCCAATAGTGGTACAAGGACAGAACATTTGTTAGGCAACAAGTGAGAAAACTTGGTTCCAACATCATGCTTTTTTAAGCGGGCCTTGGCATCATTGATCAAGCGGCTCCTAAAATGGAAACATACCAGATAAACCTTTCAGTAGTAACCTGGCAGCATCTTGAAGTTAACTACTTCTGCGTCTGTTTCCATTTCAGTAACATGGCAGAATGAATAGTACTTACATCACATAGATGCTGACAAGATTAAACGAGGCATGCAACTACTAAACACAGTGTAATACATGGGTTCACTTTGAAACTTTTAAAACCAAATGATAGCAAAAAAAATTTTTTTTCAATAATGCAATCACTAACTATTGGCATTCATAATTATATTCCGGCAAGATATGTCTGAATAACTCATTTTGAGATTAGACCACAATCTCTTAATCTTGCCCTGCTATCAAACCTCTTCGTCTTCAGTGGTCTTATAACAATGGTTCCCAAGATCTAGCAGAATCAATCATCTAGAAGACGTATTGCTAGGTTCGGCTGCAGATTTCTGATTCAGTGGGTTCGGGGTGGGGCCTGAGAGGTTGTTGAAGTCTCACACTTTGAGAATATGCGGGTGTTTGGATTTGTGACCACTGTAAGGGGACTTACATCCTGAGGCAGCAGACCACAGCTGAAGTCCTTGAGTCTTGGCATCAGTATAGATGTCATTTTAAGGTCTTTGAGTTATTTCCCTAAAGTTTAGCCCCCAAACAAAAACCCGCTGTCCTAAGAGTAGATTCCGACTCACAGCAACCCTGTGTAGGGTTGCTTCTGAGGCTGTGAATTTGTATGGGCGTAGAAATCTCATCTTTCTTCCATGGTGCAGCTGGTGGATATGAACTGCCGGACTTGCGGTTAGCAGTCTAGTTCTTATCCTACAACTCCATGCCACGACTTCTTCTCCTAATGCTTACTGAACTCTGCACAAACTTAACCATGCAGCTAAAGAAATGTTTTCCCCCGTGGTCCCGCAGAGACGTGGAAAGAATGTACTTTTGAAGAAAATCTTGATGCACATCCCTTATCAGGTATTTTCTTTGCAGGCAGGTGCCAGGAGGATGTTGTCCAAGGGCTATCGTCACATATTGTGACTTAGGAGAGACATTTGTGACTCTGAAACTTCCTGGAAAGCACATAGGTTTGCAATTATGTAACCAACCCCTGCCACCTACACATACTCTGTAAACCAATCCTAGCATAAACCTAGCTTTGAGATGTCCCACCGCCTACTTGTCTAATCAACGTGCTGTAAGCTAACGCTCCTGATTTCACCCTCTAAAAACCTGTTTGGAGCTGGTACTGCTAGATTTCACCTCCCTGGTTCGAACTGCTGCGAGCCTTAACAAACCACTATTTCTTTAAACCCAACAGTTTTTCCCTCATGAACAACTGGCATGCTTTCCATGAGGATTTGTTTGGGTCCTTGTGACATGAGTATTTCGTTGTGAATTGGGTTAAATCTTCTTATGGGGAGGAAGTTTTGCACAGTGGGCAAAATGAGAGGCTTATGTTGGCCAGCTCTAGAGTCAGAAGTGTATAGGAGATGGCTCCTTAGCCTAGTCAGACTCCTGGGGCATGCTTGTGAAATATCTGTGGGGATTTCACAATGGACTGTGGTATATGCTGGGGCTAGAACTCAGCTAGCGCCATGTTGCAAATGTCCCCATAGTTAGATGAAAGCTATGAGGAGGGAGCTGTGCACTGCGCTCTGCACTTTCCTAGGTGACAGGGAGGAGACCTAGTGGCACAGTGGGTTAGGCATCAGGCTGCTAACCACAAGGTCGGTGGTTCAAACCTACCAGCCTCTCTGTGGGAGAAAGATGAGAAAATCTGCTTCCGTGAAGATTTACAGTCTGGAAAATGTAAGGAGCAGTTCTACCCTGTTTTAGAGGGTCGCTGGGCGGGAACGGGCTCTCCCGTTATCTGGTTACTTCTGTCCACTGCAGGGTGTTCACTAAGTATGGGTGGGCTGCATTGGCTTTTAAAAGCGATCCAACAGCCTGAAATGACTCTCTAAATCGTGTTACTGGAGATAACTGGCCCGCCTGGAGCACGGACGGGCTGGATCCAGTGTCCCCTTCAGGGAGAGGCCCAGCGGAAGCAAAAGGCCGCAATAAAAGTCGTATACTGGGGGCCAGTCCTTGGATTCAGGATCTAAAAACACCAGCAATAACAGCCAGGGTCACACTAGAGAAAATATGGAATAAAAGTAGCAGCTGGCCTGCCCACTGTCCTCGCAGGCTGGCCTGTTTTGTCTAGTGAGAGCGCAACAACCCCGTGTCCAGGGAGGTTAGTGGCCAGGCCACCATCGGGGCCGCGCCTTCGATCATGTGCCCAGGGCAGGGGAAGCCCGCACCGAGCCTAGATTCGTTCCAGGCCCAGCTCGGTCACTGGCCGGGGAAGGTGAACAGGGCTTGGGCTGGGCAGCTGGAGGCCAAAGTCACAGCAAACAGCCCAGAGTGACCATCGGCCCCGAGTGCGTTCCGGTCCTCGCCGCGATCGGGACCGGGTGGCCGACCTGGGGGCGACAGGGGCCGGGGCAGCGTTACCTGGCTGGCTCCTGCGGTGGGAGGGCACTCTGCATGACCATCCGCTAAGTTTGTTTTCAGATTTTCAGACTGAGTTCCTCCGAGGGGCAGGCTGGTCCAAAGGGCATGCGCAGAAGGTCTGGGGCGGGACTAAGAAGGACAGGGGCGGGGGAGGGCGGTGGTGGGCGGGGCGAACGGGAGAGGGCGGGGCGAACGGGAGAGGGCGGGGCCTCGAGCCAGGCCTTGGAGGTCAGCAGGAGTTGCGCCTGAGGATGAGGAAGAAGTGAGTATCCCTAACTCTGAAAATGGTAAACATACACAAGTTTTTTGTTTTTTAATGTCATATGCAATGCTGAGGGGAATCCAACGCCTTCATCCTGTGTTGCCGGCCTCCACTTTTCAGAACACACTTAGCACGTGTTTACTGAGCTCCTACTAAACTTTGAAGGAGCTTTGGTTGCGTAGTGGTTACAAATCAGGCTGCAAAACCTTAAAGTCAGCAGTTCGAAACTACCTGCTGTTCCGTGGGAGAAAGATGAGGCTTTCTGCTCCACTAAAAATTTATAGTCTCAGAGACCTTATACAGGGTTGCTATGAGTCGGAACCGACTCCACGGCACATTACAACAACAATAATTAAACTTTGGGTGCAGATTCCATGGCAGGCAGTGAAAAGACGCGTGGAGCTTACAGTGAAATGGCAGATAGTGACATGAATCCAATAATTAGACCCTGGGAGACCAAGAGGAGAGTATGAAACTAGTGTGTTGCAAGGAGCCGGAGGCCTTCTGGTGCTCTTGAGAGCCACTGCTCTAGGGGATGAAAAAAAACACAACAAAATCCAAATTCATTGACATCAAGTCCATTTTGACTCATAGGGAGTCTATGAGGATAGAGTAGAACTGCCCACTAGGGTTTCCAAGACTGAAAAACTCGACAGAACTTGGTCACATCTTTCTCTTGCAGAGAGCTGGTGGATTCAAACAACCTCTCTTTCTTTAAAGTGGAGTGCTGTAACCACTTGTGCACCAGGCCCAGAGATGTTGTTGTTGTTATGTGCCGTGGAGTTGGTTCTGACCCATAGCGACCCTGTACAGGGTTTCCGAGGCTGTAAATCTTTACGGGTACAGAAAGCCGTATCTTTCCCCTGCAGAACAGCTGGTAGTTTCGAACTCCTGACCTTGTGGCTTGCAGCCTAATTCGTAACCAAGGCGCTACCAGAGCTTCTTGGCCCAGGGATGAGTAGGATGTAAATAGAGGGAGGGGGCAGGGAGAGAGTTTAAGGAACAGGGAGAACTGGACAGACCAGAATTGAACAGACCAGATCAGAGGGAAAGTTTGATGCAGTAAACCCAAAAGGCACAGAATCTGGGGCCCACATAAGTGTTTTAAGTTTGATTAAAATCAGAAGAAAGATGAATATAGTAATAAAGAATAAATAATGAATCTAGCCTGGATTGCATTTATCTTTGTTGTTGTTGTTAAGTGCCGTCGAGTCGATTCCGACCCATAGCGACCCTGTACAGGGTTTCCGAGGGTGTAAATCTTTACGGTACGGGAGTAGAAAGCCTCATCTTTCTCCCGCGGAGCGGCTGGTAGTTTCGAACCGCTGACCTTAATGTTCGCAGCCCGATTCGTAACCACTACGCTACCAGAGCTCCTTGCATTTATCTTTATACCAGTGCAAACTCTCATCGGTCTTGTTAGAACAGGAAAGGGTTCCTGAAAACAAAAGTGCCTAGGGCCAATGGAAGTCTCATGAGACCATGGTCAGCGGAAGGGCCTCCGACCTTTAAAACCCCAGAGAGCTTAAGTGCAGCCATTTAAAAATGGCATATTCTTTTGCATATTGTTGTTGTTAACGCTGAAGCAAAAACAAAAACCCAATGTTACAGAGCTGATTTTGACTCCTAACTTTCCCAGGAACAGCTGATGGGTTTAAACCCCCGACCTTGTGGTTAGCAGTCCAGTGTTTATCCTACAACGCCACACAAGGAGTCCACTTTTGCTTGTTGTTAAGTGTGGAGTTGGTTCCGACTCACCCTGTATAGGGTTTCCGAGGCTTTAAATCTTCCTCATGTTTCTCTCATGGAACAGCTGGCGGCCTCAAACCGTGGACCTTGTGGTTCAAAGTCCAGAGTAAATATAATCAAGCCTAAAGGACTGTTGTGCCACTGTGGGTTAATACGCCAGACTGCAAAGCCGTTTGAACTGCAAGGTCGGCGGTTCAAGCTCACCAGTCACTCCTCGGAAACCATACATAGGGTCGCTATGGGTGGGAATCTACTCGACAGCACTTAACAACAACACCACCAAAAGACTGTTAGAGCAGTGTGGTCGGAGCAAAATAGTCACTGACGTGAGGAGAAGGGCTTTGAAGCTGAGAAGCAGTCACAGGAAGGTAGAAGTCTACCTTCTTCCTCCAAGAAGCAGAATGGCGGGTCTCAGAATGGGTTTCAGGAAGGCCCCAGTGGAAACAGTGCTGAGGAGACACTGGGAAGCAATGGGGGGAGCTTCCAAAACTGTGCACTAAGCAAAGAACAAACAGGTGTTTAAACCATCTGGAAAATCCTCATAGCCCCAGCAACCTCAGAGCACAGGATGGGTTGGGAAACCCTTTACAGGGTCGCTGTGAGTTGGAACCACCTTAACAGCACTTAACAACCACAGGATGGTTAAGGATGCGATCCTGTATACCTGGGATAGGAGTGCTGGTGGTGCTCTGGGTTAAACACTTGACTGCTCATCAGAAGGTCAGTGGTTCAAACCCATCATCAGTTGCTTGAAGGCAGAAAGATGTGGCAGTCAGCTTTTGTACTGATGGCAGCTTTGGAAATCCTCTGGGGACACTTCTATCCTAGGTGTCTATGAGTTGGAATCCACTCCACCGCAGTGGGTGGGATACCAATACTATATGCGCAGCGCAGTGTTCCTTGATCAGAAATACTGCTGCTACAACTTTCACAAGGTTGGAAGAAACATACAGGCTGTGAGCCGCATACCAAAAAGATTCTATATATCCATCCACGAACGTATACGGATCTCCCCACCTGCTAAACAACCGCAGCCTTCGAGGTTCAACGCTAGTGCCATTCAGGGCCAATGGCTGCTCTCTGCTGCTCTTGCACACTGATTTCTTGGTAGTCACATAATTCTAGAAAATGTGCTGCAGAGAAGCAAAGCTATAAAAAGATTCTGGCCAGCCTGCAAAACCAACATGTAAATGGGCACAGCCCTAGGCCAAGGCAGGCCTATCTGGAGACCAACTACCTGGCACCTTTATTTGAGCAATCCTTCCCTGCCAGATCTTAGTGGCACAGAGATAAAGAAAACACCAACTCGCCTTAGGGAGCAAAAAGGATACCTGGAGAGAAGCCCTACGACAAACAATTCACTTTAATGCAAGATAAGTGCTCTGGGGAGCTAGGAGAAAGGAAGTAATTAATTCTGCCTGCAGGGAGATCAGTGGGGTCAGGGAAGGCTATGGAGACTTGGTAAAGTAACAGTGAACATTTAATAGATTCCTAGCAAAATGATAGCAGAATTCTTGCTTTCTGGTTCAGCTACTGTTCTTCATGTACTGTTATCAGTCTAGCCATCTGTCAGTCTGTCCAGTCATCTGTCCGTGGGGGCTTACATATTGCTAAGATGCTGACCGGAAGTTGTCTGTCTGTCAGTCAGGGCTTACGTGCTGCTAAGATGCTGCCAGTTTTCAGCAGAGTTTCCAGATAAAGACAAACTATGAAGAAAGATCTGATGAACTGTTTCTGAAAATTGGCCAATGAAAACTTTATGAAATAATGCTTAGGAGATGCCACTCCATTCCTGCCTCAGTTTGGAGGACAGTCTTGTTACCCCAAAGCTTGGGTCTGATTCCTGGGAGTAAATGAGTCCAATTAACAAACACTCAGATGAATGAAGGCAGAGAACAACTTTTATTATTAGGAAGCCATCTCCCAGGGACACCTGTAGCAAAGAAACTGCTGCTCAGTGATATTTCTTACCAGTAGTATTGATTTAAGCCTATTTTAGCAATGTTCATTATTGCAACATGCAGGTGGGCTGTAGTCTTACTGTTGTAACTTGTACACTAATTCACCAGGTGGTCACAGTGTGCCCATAAACACATGAACCCTTCCAGCGCGTTTTGACTAGACTTGTTGTTGTCATTAAGTGCCATTGAGTCGGTTCCGACCCATAGCAACCCTGTATAGGGTTTCCGAGGAGTAACTGGTGAGCTTGAACTACCGACTTTGCAGTTCAAAAGGCTTTGCAGTCTGGTGCATTAACCCACAGCGCCGCACCAGGAATCCTTATTTGAAGCTAAACAAACATACATGAGGCTTCCTGTGGAACTAGGTGACCAGTAACATTTTGACAATTGTTAAAGCATGTATTTTAAAAAGGAGTCCTGGTGTGGTACTGTGGGTTAATGTGCCAGACTGCTAAGCCTTTTGAACTACAAGGTTGGTGGTTCAAGCTTACCAGGTGCTCCTCGGAAACCCTATACAGGGTCGCTATGGGTCAGGACCAACTTGGCAGCACTTCACAACAACAACAAATATTTAAAAATCAAGGACAGGAGAGGGTGGAGGTAGGGGCATAAATTGCTTCAGTCAGTGTTGGATTACATTTACTCTTAGCTAAAGGAGCTCTGGTAGCGTAGTGGTTACGAGTCGGGCTGCCAACCTCAAGGTCAGCAGTTCGAAACTACCAGCGGTTCCGTGGGAGAAAGATGAGGCATTCTGCTCCCGTAAAGATTTACAGCCTCGGAAAGCCTGTGCAGGGTCACTATGAGTTGGAGCCGACTCCACAGTACTTAACAACAACAGCAAAGTAATCCTGGAGTCCTGGTGTGGTGCTGTGGGCTCATGCGTCAGACTGCAAAGTTGTTTGAACTGAGGGGCACAAACAATTTGTACTTGGCTCCTAACAGTTGGACATTCAAAACCACTCAGAAGCACAGTGTAAGAAAGACCTGGCAAACTGCTTTCAAAAAAGCCAAGAAAAGCCTACTCTGCAACGTGTGGGTTTGTCATGAATTAGAACCAACCTGAAGGCAACAGATTGGGTTATTTTGACCTGTTGTTTCAGGTAGAGGGAAGGCCAAAGTTCAAGGGCTTGGATGAAGCAGGGAAGCTTGTAAAGTTTAACAAGAACTTTGCTTCTGTTTGATCAGTGGGACAAATAATTCTGTTACTCACTTATTAGGCCTGGAGTTCCTGGATGGTACAAATAAATGGTGAGCTCACTCATCTGCTAACCAA